AACCCCTAAACCCCTAAACCCCTGTGGCTTCGCCATGGATATTGTTATTGGCAGGAAGAGCTTGCAAAGCTTCTGGAGACGACCACAGAGGCGGTGGAGGCAAGGACATAAAATATTTTCTGAAGACCGGGGGTCAACTATGTAACTAGGGGTGGGCATTGCAAGGATTCTCCTACTCCTTGCTCCTTATGAAATAGCCGTGTCAGGATTATCACCACTGTTATCAGAATTCTCATGTGCGGAGCTGCGGTAGGTTCCACTCTTAAACTCCTAAACCCTAAACCGAGCAATCTTGAAGTCACTTTGCATCTGCGGCCTGTGGAAGGGTGCAGATCAAGTAGAGAGAACTTACAGTTGCCCGAGCCTTGGGTCTCTAAGTACTTCAGGGTGAGCATGGACTTGTTCAGCCACTTCCCGAAACAGTTTACATGTGCGGCGATTCTCGAAAAAACTGGGATTCCTTGTAGGATCCTCGCTACATCGGGTCACGTAGTGCTTTGGGGATCCAACGAGGGGTCTTGACACAGAAAACTACCCATGTCCTAACCCTTGGGCTGACAAGCCGTGTTTCTTGACTGGCCTCTGCCTGAGAAGATGTCTGAAAGCCTGCCAGCCAAGGTCCGAAACAGTAAGATGGCTGCATTAGAGTTCTTGTCCGAACCCTCGTTCGGGGGGGCAAAGGCGGTCGGCTTTCAGGCAATAGGGCAATCGTCCCTACATAACCATATAATGATGTCCATGTAGTCCAACATCCTATGTCTATATTCATCCCTGAACGCTAAACCATGCCTAAACCGCAAACCCTAAACCCATAGCAGCTGTTGCTGCATTTCTGTTTCACATTGCTGCCGAAGCCAAGACAAAGAACCGCGTATGCTTTCCAGGCTCGTTGTTCGCTTGACTTCAGAGTGACCCTGAAGTCAGGCCACCCATGGCAGCAGTCTTTTAGGGTTTCCAAACCTCTAACCCCTACGACCGTGAACTCGAACTCCTGACTCCATGTATAAGAAGCCTACAAGCTGCCAGGACCTGAACACCGGACTCAAGGAGAACATGTCTATTGCCCCCCGGCCTTTGGCGGGCGGTTGGGGAAATAAGCAGGTCGGAGCAGTTCGTAAAGTATCACCCAATAGTCCTTATATAACAAAAGCATACAATACACCACCCCCCCTCACCAAAAGAAAGGCTATGCCACTTCTACAGGCCTCTATATGGGTAGTTCTCTAAAGCAGGGTCCCTTTTTAGGTCCCCAAAATAGTATGGCACCCTAAATTAGAGAACTACCAATATGAGTCGAAGTAAAACTCTAAGCCCAAAGCCCTAAATCCTATATGGGTCGAAATAAAAACTCAAGACCGCCCGAATACCAAAACACCGGAAGTTTCGAACCCGGGAGCCGGGAAGCTTTGCACGTAGGTTGAGGGTTTGGAGTTCTTGGGTTTAGGGTTCACGGTCTGGGGCGCTTAGGGTTTAGGGTTGAGGGTTTTGAGTTTGGGGTTTCAGGTTTTGAGTTTTGGGTGTTGGGTTTGGGGCCGTTTCGGGCTTAGGGTTCGGGGTTCAGAGTTTAGGGTTTAGGTTAAGATCCGGTCAAAGACTTGCGCTTACGGAGTCCCAGAATGAACGAAGGGGGCTTTTGGAGTTGCCGGGGCTGACAGATCTCTTCTAAGCCCTGCAAAAACCCAAGAGTACCCTAAAACCTAAAGCCAAAACCCCTAGACCCTAAACCCCGTCTTATATATATACACACATATATATATATATATGTATATATACAAGTTAATTTACTTCGAACATCCCCACTCTACAGATAATGCATTTGGGGGCCACACCACTGACTGACGTTACGCTCGTGAGGTCCCCGGTCACGTAACAAAACACAAGTGTTCGATTCAGGTCATTCGACGACCCATGGGGTCACGTCGTGTTCTATTCAGGTCGGTGGGCGATCCATGGGGTCACACCACCGACTGGCGATACGGACGTGGGGTGGCCCCGTACACGTCGTGTTCTATTCAGGTCGGTGGGCGATCCATGGGGTTACACCGCCGACTGGCGATACGGGCGTGGGGTCCCCGTACGCTAAGGTCGTGGGGTCCCCGGGTTGGGCACTCCAGAGAGTCTCACGGTAGTCTTGAGTTTTTACGGTAGTCTCTCGGGGTGGGCACTGCAGGCAGTCTCTGGAGGTATTTTTAGCGGGCGAGGAACGGACGAGGAGCGGGCGGGAGTAATAGATAATAGCTGACTTTAAAATGTAACAACCCCACACCGAGGGTGGGGAATAAATAAATAGAAACATATACCCTAAATACTGAACGGTTTTTCTGTAAAACCGGCTAACCGTGTGATAAACGCTAAATCCTAAGCCCTAGAGGTTCGGGACAACATGAAGAGCCTTGAAGCGAAGATCCAGCAGGCCGGTTGAGGGCTTAGGGTCTGTAGGGTTTAGGGTGCTTAGGGTGCGTAGGGTTTAGGGTTTGGGGTGTTTAGGGTTTGGGGTTTAGGGTGGTTTGGGGCATAGAGAGTAGGGTTTATGTGCTACAGTTGAGGTTTAGGGTTTGGTTTAGTGTTCAGTTCTGCGGTTTGGGGTCTAGGGTTCAAGGTCGCGTGATTTTTGAGAATCAGGGTTCAAGGTTCTCGAGCTTACGGTATGAACTAATAAATGTCCGGTTTAGGGCCTCAGATTAGGGGTCTGTAGGGTGTTTAGGTTTTAAGGTTGCTAGCATAGTGCGCTTAGGGAAGGCTGCACGGATCTGGGTTCCATTTTAGTAGCATCGGCATGGTTGAGCTGGAGATGCTGAGTTCAATTCTGCCAGTGACCGCTTGAGTTTTCGCTCTGATAGGCTGGGTTCTGAGACTAATAATGAAAAGTTCGGGATGTAGGGCCACTGGATTGAGAAGTCGAGGCGTCGGAAGCAGAATTCTCCCTGTTCATCGTGGGAGGGGTTTGATGTTCAAGAAGGCTTGCGCAAACCTCAACGAGCATCTGTGAGGTGCAAGGTTTCGGGCTTGTGAGAGGTGTTTAGGACTTCGTGCAGAGGTTAAAGGGTGGGGTTTAACGCCGCCCACCCAATACGACAGTATCTGTTCCTTGTGGCAAGAAATTTTCAATCCGGAGACTCAACTTACACTCAAGCTTCCCACCCAGGATCCGTCTCCAAGTCAATCGTCTTTTGCAAACTTGGCAACAGTGAATTACCCAGGCCGCTAACAAGTCCCAAATTTTGTAATCCAAACCCATTGTCATTGTTACAAAGATGATGCCAACAGCCTACAAAGATGACAACAAAACCGTACAGAGATGATAAACATCTTACAAAGCTGATAACACTGGTATGAACTCTGACGATCTTGACGTGTTGCAGATGAGTCCGCCGCGCCTCCTCAGGCCGTCAGCGGATAGCTGGCGTTTGGCGAGCAAAGTCTCACCGGGGCAGGGTCAAAGCTTCGCGACGAATACGGGGCCTACGTGGTTACCTCCGGGTTCTGAGACCCGTGGCGGGATGATTCTGTATTGCTGAAGCCCCTAAACCCTACACCCAAAGCCGAAGTTACTACAGGGCGATGGCTGTTGAGGATTGGTTTCTGAGTCGCAGGCCGCTGGGGATCCCTGAATCGGGGAATCCCCTTTCGTTGGATGATGCGGACCCGGACAGATAAAGAAGCCTTCTTGCTGCAAGCTCCTTGCACCCCCAACTTTAAGTCGATACTGTAAACCCGAAAGCCTAAACCCTAAACCCGAAACTGTGAGCCGTGATCTTCAAAAAACACCAGATCTTCGGGGGGTTCAAAGGAGGGAGTTCGTTTGAGAGCTTTACGCGCAAAGCGGTGCAGGAAGTTCGGAAGGTTTTCTCGTGTCATGTCTGCAGAGGGGTCGGGACTTATTCAAATTCAGCGCTTCTGGCCCGATGCGATTCTCCGTGGGACTAAGCCCACCGCGCCTTGATGTTTTGAGGACTTGAGACCTTGGGCACGAAGACTCAAGCTCTATCATGTACCAGAAATCTCAAAGCTCCAGAGCACGCCTTTCAATCCACCCCAAAGAAAGGCTAGCGGCTAGAGCCTGCATCCCAAATCCCAAAGACCGAATGCAGCTACCTGTCGCCGGCTTCGCACCGCCTCACTGCGCGCTGGTCGTGGTTTCGTAGCAAATTGAAGTGCTGAGGTGCGATATTGCTGGCAGTAGGTCTTCTGAGAATCGCCCGAGGTCTTCAAGAGAAAGCTGTCGTAGTCATAGTGATTGTAGTACTAAGCACAACCAGTACTAGACCAACCAGAGCCATGGCCGCTTGTTCCAGCTCTGGTTTGACCTCGTCTACATCTGACCGTGACATGCCGGGCTTACATGTTCGGCCATCACACAGCCATCTTGAGCTAAAGGAGTGGATGGCGCGAATCCAGGAGTCGCTTCAAAGCGTGGAAGATTCCGTGCTGAAACAATCCGTGGCCACCGAAAGCCTTGCGATTGGTGTGCATGAGCTCCTGCAGTTTGGATTTCGAGAAGGCTCTTTGCAAGAGGCAGTTCCAGAAGGCGGCAAGATCGTTCGGCCTCTTCGTATTGAGGTGCCGCAGGATGCGCCGACACCTCTGCCTTGCATCCCATGTGACCTTCCATGCGAACTCGGCCCAGTGCCCGAAAGGACCGAAGACAGCCTGGATCAGGGGGATGGGTTGACGTCCACCCTCGCAAAGGTGGTGTCTCGCAGGCGAAGCCGGCATAGCAGCGGAGGGGAGGAGCGGGCAGAGGTCGAGAAATTCCTGGCATCTCGTGATCCGCAGTCCACGCAATATGGCATGATGCACGAGCTGGAGGAACACAATGCCTTCCGGCTCATGCACGTGCGCCGGAATCTGGGTTCTTGATAAGGAGCTTCGTGTAAGTTACCACAAGGAAACCATTGATTTACTACAGATCCCTCACGGTTCCGTTGTGCTACTAGCGTCATGGTTCCAAGTTCCAAGGGCTGAGGAAGCAGGTTTGCAATGAGTAGCCTGACTCGAACAGAGAGTGATTTGGGATCCCCATAAATTAACTGAACTTAAACTCCTAAACCCCAAACCCTAAACCCGCAACTCTAAACCCGAAAACCAAGACCCTAAACCCAGGAATGGGCGGGCCCACAGCCACAAGAAGCTGAAGAAGTCGAGCTCGCGAGGTCCCGAGGTGGCGTCCGATCTAAACCCCGATGTGACTGGGCTCTCAAGGAATTTGTTCAGGGTTAAGAGTTTAGGGTTCAGGGTTTAGGGCTCTTAAGGAGTTTGTTTTGTGTTGCTAACGATAGGGATCTACCGTACATAATTTGGTGTCCTTCAGGTGATAAGTACATTGTTTTCAGCTATTGATGATGCTTGTTGGTGTCTCTACACCATAGAATCCCTGCAACTGTATCTCACTCCGTTCATGTGTGGGCTTCTCTGCTTGTTTAATTTTCGTGACTCTGATAGGGATCTATTGCAAATAACACGGTTTCCTTACTGTTATGATAGCATAAAATAGACTCCTCAACCCTAAACCCTAAACCCTGAACCCTTCAACAAAAACCCAAGCTGAGCCAGGAGCGGGATCCGGATCTGAGTCAGACGGATGTGCCGGAGACTCCCAAGAAGAGGGCTCCCACCATTACCAGTAACCTGGGTCTGCTAGAGGAACGGTTTAGACCAGGGTTTATGTATTAGGGTTTAGGGTTTAGGGGTTTAGGGTTTATAGGGTTTAGGGGTTTAGGGTTTAGGGTTTAGGGTTCAGGGTTTAGGGGTTTGGGAACTTCGCTTGCAATGAGCCTCATGATCCTTCATGGGGTGCAGGGCTTAGGGTTGAGGGTTGTATAGCAGCCAACCGTACTAGGCATGTATAGCTAAACAATAGGTTTCTGTATGATGTTACCCCAAAAAGTGCCTGAACCAGCCCTAAGCCCTCAACCCCCAGGCAGAGTCGGTGGAGAGGACAAGGAGGTTATGCTGAGCAGAGTTCGCCGGGTATCCTTAGAGGATCTTCGCAACAACTACGATGCAGTGGCTTGCCTCAAGCAGATTGAAGCATAGTTAGTTGCCTCGTAGGTTTTGAAGAGTTCCCGCTCAGGGTTTGGGATAGGAGTGTTGCAGCTTCCACGGTCCCTGGTCCCTAAACCCCCCAAGCGGAACCTCCAAACCCTAAGTAGAACCATTATAGAACGTTTATAGGTTACAGAGACCCTGAACCAGGTGGTCGTCCACAACTTCAACGGCAAAGTGCGGGACCCGACAATAACCTTTGAGTTAGGGAAGACGTCGGCACTGAACCTGGGTCGCCCTAAGGTACTGTTGTCGATGTTTTGGGACTTGGGCTTCGGGTTGCAGGGTTTAGGGTTTGGGGTGGCTTCAAACTCGGTCAAGCGATCGCAACAAGACGAGGGGCAAGGTGAGTCTTTGTTTATGTAGAGACCACGACAACCTAGGAGCACTGTGGCTCGGCTGCTCCTCTGCGTGACTGGCATTTTGCAATTTCGGATGGGGCCGCTCTGGCGACTCTTTTCCTGGTGCCTCAATGTCTCGGTTTCTGTCTGCCTGTCAGCATTCCTGATCTACTACAACGTGTGGCACCCCAATGCCGACATCTCCTTCTCCACCGCACTCCTCGGCTCCTCTGCCAGCCACAGGTGGATTCCGTTCTGAGATGCTACAGACTTCAGATGGCGCGGTTACGGTGTTTGCCGAAACACGTAAGTGGCAGTTTCAACTTTAGGGCTCTGGGGGTATTGACAGTATCCTCAGCATCAGCAGCCGCAACAAGGACGCTGATCTATGGCAGCAAAATGGCATGTAAAGGACCTACAGGAACCCACAGCTGAACGAGCCACAAGCAATCACAATACTGTAGTGATTTTCAGGGATTAGGGTTTCTCTGGGTTCGAGGCTACCGCAAAATACCGCCCCATATACTAAAGTATATGGAAGCGCGCTTGGGGCTGCTTAGTTTTTGAGTTCTTAGTGCCTCCTGCGCTTGCCACACGAACAGGAGCAGCCGTAGTAGTAGTCGTCGCCTTCGTGTAGTAGTGGTAGTAGTAATCGTCGTCGTCGCCGTAGTAGTAGTAGAAGAAGTAGTAGTCGTCGTCGGCATTTTGATGGTGGTAGTAGTAGTAGTAGTAGTAGTAGTAGTAGTCGTAGTAGTCGTAGTAGTAGTAGTCGTCGTAGTAGTAGTAGTAGTAGTAGTACTAACTAACTAAAAATAACAATAATTCGTAGCAGCAGTGGTAGCAGCAGTAGTAGTAGAGTATGTCAGGCTAACAATTAAAGATTAGG